CGCGTAGTCCTTGGACGTCAATTTGTCTTTGCGAAGATCGAACTTGAGGATCTCGCATCGAGCAACAAAAGTCTCGAAGGCGCCAGTGAGAGCACTGTGATAATGTTTGAGGGTCTCTGTTGCCTTTGCTTTCCTGTATATATATTTCCCGTCAAGCCGTCCTTGTGGCATATCGCGGAACAAGTATTCCCACACCTTCAGTCTCTTAGGCCCCAACTTGTGGAACATGTCCCTGTTCGGGCGATGTTTGCAATGCGGTTTCTCGATGTGGCAGTTGAATCTGTCGTCCTTGACAAGTATATCGATGAACTTTGTCAAGTATGCAATGTCGTTTGCCGACTCGTTACAGGCAATGACATTATTCCCTGCCAGTAATAATTCCCACACAAGACCTGCGTGCGCCCTACCCAATAAAATTACACCTTCCGCCTCCTCGACGAATGACCTACACAACGAACGTAACTTGCTAGACTCTCGCTCCCAGATGGAATACACCACACTTTCATCACCCTCTATGCCACCGTGTTTCCCCAGACACTTCCCGAACTTGTCATCCACAACATGCACGTTTGTGAGGTCATTGAAAAGGCGGGGTGCGACCGTGACCTTTCTGAGATCCCCTCCCTCCGCGTGCAGGACAATGGCCATCATGTCTCGACTCGCCGTAGCGATATTGCCATACCTCGTGATGTCATTCGATGACCTGTCCACCTGTTTCCAGGTCCCGAGGATGAGTTCGATGTCCTCCCACTGGAATAAGCAATGCAGAACATCACTTTGCACCTTTTGCGGTTCGAAGACAAAAAGAACCCAATTTACGCCACAACACTTAATCACCATAGAGTGCAGAGCGTCGAACTCTTGAGAGGTCCATGTCGTGCAAAAGTTAGCGGGGGAGATGTCAAGGATGACGGCCCTGCAGGTCATTTTTTGCGCCACAGCGACGATGCCGTTTGGCGCAGCCAGCACTTCCTTCAATGGCATGCACACCGGTAGCAATGTTGTTTGTTTTTTAAGTTTATCCCATACGATATGACGTGCGCTGGAGGCGACCCGTTTGACCTCCGCCCGAAACAGATCGAGCTTATCGATTGAGGTGTATACAAACACCTTAAAGTGGAACGGAGCCTCCTTATACATTGYCGCCGTAGGGCCCAAGCCTRATCCTTGCCTTGCCTCCTCCACCCCTYCAAGCYGTCGAGRGACCGTCTTCACTTTGCTGACATGCARCTTGTCCCGTTCCTTCTCCCATTCAGCTGCACACAGACCGCTCGGCCCATACCTGTCTTCGAGGTCCTTGTATGACATGAAGAAGGCATCATTCCACTCATCGTCCGCCCTTCCCTCGGCGCGAAAAACAACGTAGTTGAACATACGGACCATGTACCGTTCCTTTCGCATGATGTCGAGGAGGCACTCCGTATTCACTCTCAGAGGCATGACCTTGACGTTCGTCGCGACCACCTTCCCTTTCATGAGAAGGAGCAGTGCAACTTCCCTCTCGCGGCACGTCAAATCCCCAAAATTTTTGAAGTAGGAAGGACAGAGATCCTTCCACGACACGGTGGAGCCTTTGGGACCATCTCTCGCGTATATGCAATGGTATAATGTTCTTTGCCCCTTCGTCTCGTCGGTGTACGGGCCTTGCTGGCGCCCCTCCATCCTACCCGGCATGTCAAGCGGTATTTTACCATCGCCATCTGGTAGCTTCTCCTCGTTGAACATCTCGAAGAACTTCTCGACCAGTGGCCACACAACCTCGGTGGATGTGGCGAGGTTCATGTAGCCACGAAGTTTATTGCTCCAATCCTTACTGTACTCATTCTCGAGCGCCTGCTTCACGAACGCCTTGTCGCATGCCTTCCCCATGGAGGCCCTTAAGAAATTCTGCCACTTCTTTTGGTGCACAACGGCGACCGCATCCTTATCGCTGACCTTGCCTTTTGGGGCCTCGATTCGATGGTTATCGATCCACCATTGCCTCATATCACGGACAACATCCTCGAAGGACAACATCATGGCCCGATTTTCGCGTCTGTTGTCGAGGGCAGAGACATTGAAATACCCTCGCGTCTGCTCATCTCCAAAATAGACGACCCGCACCTTAGAGTATGCGCGAAGGCCATAGACGTCGACTGTTGGAGAACCCTTTCTTACCAATGTCTTCATGACCTCGACCGTATGCTGACCACAGACAGCACACCAATCGAACTCCGAGGAGTCTCTTTCGAAGAATTCGGTTGGTGTTATCCGCCTACCCTGCCCGCCAACGATGTCGTTGCGGTCAACCAGCGCAAGCACGAGCTCAGGCCCATCCCACGCCCCCGGTTCCGTGGTGATGGAACTCTCGATGGCATTCACGATGCCTCGCACAATGTTCGCAGACAAAGAGCGGTGGTTGAAAAGAATATTCCCGCGGGGAATGCGTTTGATTTTCATGTCCACAAGAACAGGAAGGACTTTTTGCTTAGCAAAACGCCGCTCGTCGTACTCGAGGAAGAAACACCGCGTCGTGTCGATGGGCGCAGCGTGCTGAAGCGGTTCATCATCATCATCGGGCATGCGAGGGCCCACTCCCTCGCCTACATCCCCTGAGTCCCGCAGTTTTTCAGCCCTCACTATCTGCTTACCACGGCCGCCACCACGGCCGCCACCACGACCGCCAGATCTTCCCCCTGGCTGCTCTTCTGAGGAGGTCTCGCCTCCTGGGATGCCACCAGAGCTCCATGAGCCTCATTAACAGCGTCAGTCCTCGCTTGTCTCTTATGAGCGGAAGCAGAAGGAGAAGTTTCTCTTGTCCTTTTCCTCGACTTTGATCCTCTGTGCTCCTGCGAGTCATGCCCACCCTGACTCCCGCCTTGCGAATGCCATATCGCAGGGGACGACAAGGGCCGACCAACAACCGCTCCCACAAAACCGGTGGGGATGTCGCCAGGGCCATGCTCCGACGTGACACCGACGTCGTCATCGGCAAGCATGTTTTGGTCCTGCATGTTCTCATCCCCAACGTCCATATACTCGTCATCACCGTCGTCTTCACGTGGACCGCAACTTCCCCCATCTTCTTCCTCCTCGTTTCGCTCAGTGGGGGCAGTCGCACCTTCCTGGGCACTGTCACGCGCAGCGTTGCGTCCGTACAGATTTCTGTCATCGTACTCTGTAGCCTCGCTGGAACATTGAGCGATATCGTGACCTCCCCTCACCGTGGGCAAGGGCTTAGGGCGACGCGGCTGGCAAAGGCGGAGCTGGACAAGCAGCCAACTGTTTCCTCTTCCCAACCGGCGTGGATGGCGTCTGTCGCGATTTCCTCGAGCTCGTGACAAAGGGCACGAAAGCGCAGTCGGCTTGCTGGTCTAGAGGCAGCCTCGAGAAGGGTTCCCTGTACTCCTTAACAACGCCTAGCAGTTGGTCTGCCGGGCTGCTGAATTTCACCAAGGGTTTGGTGAGCTCCAAGGAACTTTCAACGACAGGAAGGCAGCCAGTGACGCGGGAGCCGTTCGTTCTACTGAGGAACTGTTCCGCAGTCAGCATGTGAAGCTCGGTGCCATCCCCGCGCACATCAAATGCTTTCATGGAGAAAGCCTTGACGCCGTAGCCTTGAAAGAGCCGCAAGTCAAGGCCGACCTTCTTGTCTTCCTTGACCCAATTTTTCCCATCCTTGTCGAAAACTGACGTAAGAAAGAAGGTCCTGAAGGTCCTCCCATCGTAGGTATTCCTGGCACTCTCAGATTTCTCAACACCCCCACAGCAGTACCACGTCGCACCATTGTCGTCGCTCAAGAAGACGACGGCCCCACACCCAGGCCTATGCAGACCACCAACCCAATCCAGAGCCCATGGTTTGTTGTTGTAGATTTTTGACCTGCCATATGGCTGAGAGGACGAAGCAGCAGGTTGACCTAGAGGGCACAAACAAAGGAAACGCACAAAATAAAGAACAAATGAGGAACAAACAGAAGCGCTTCGCATGTGGAGTCGACCCTTGTTTCTGGAAAGGGGTCCGGCGTTCCCTAGACGCCCGCCCCCCCGACCCTCGTTTCTGAAAGGGGGTCCGGCGTTCCGAGAACGCCTGACCCCCGACGTCTCAGGAAAGGGGGTCCGGCGTTCCCTGAACGCCCGACCCCCGACATACGTTTATGGAAGGGGGCCCAGCGTTCCCAGAACGCCCGACCCCCTACTATCGTTTATGAAAGGGGGTCCGACGTTCCCAGAACACCCGACCCCCGACCGTCATTTATGAAAGGGGGTCCGGCGTCCCCAGAACGCCCGCCCCCCTCGGGGCATTTATGAAAGGGGGTCATTTGCTCCCAGAACCCCCGACCCCCGACCACATGTCCGTCCCTCCCCCTCCCTCTAGCAGCACCGAGGGGGGTCCGGCGTTCCCGGAACGCCGGACCCATGTCGGTGCTGCCAGAGAGTAAGGGGCCCCCTCACTCCCCGTCGCCGGCAAGAGCTCCAAGGGGATCCGGCGTTCCAAGAACGCCGGACCCCCTTTGTGCTGCGGGGGAAGAAGTGGGTCCGTCCGCGCCCCTCGATGGCCACAGCACAAAGGGGGTCCGGCGTTCCCGGAACGCCGGACGCCCTATGTGCGGCGGGGGAGGATGGGAACGCCAGACCCCTTTCATGTCCGTCCCTCCCCCTCCCTCTAGCAGCACCGAGGGGGGTCCGGCGTTCCCGGAACGCCGGACCCATGTCGGTGCTGCCAGAGAGTAAGGGGACCCCTCCCTCCCCGTCGCCGGCAAGAGCTCCAAGGGGATCCGGCGTTCCGGGAACGTCGGACCCCCTTTGTGCTGCGGGGGAAGAAGTGGGTCCGTCCACGCCCCTCGATGGCCACAGCACAAAGGGGGTCCGGCGTTCCCGGAACGCCGGACGCCCTATGTGTGGCGGGGCAGGACGGGAACGCCAGACCCCTTTGTGCCGCGGGGGAGGACGGGGGTCCGAGATCCGATCCGACGATGGGCATAGCACGAAGGGGGTCCGCCCCACCCCCTCGATGACCACAACACCAAGCCTGCGCACCCCTCGCTCCCCCGAAGCGCGAAGGGGGGGGGGACAAGGCGAGACGCACCCCTCGCTCCCCTGAAGAGCGAAGGAACGCCGGACCCCTTCTGCACTGAGGGGGGGGGGAACAAGGCGAGACGCACCCCTCGCTCCCCCAAAGCG